GTTAGGGTTAGGGTTGGGTTAGGGTTAGGGTTAGGGTTAGGGTTAGGGTTAGGGTTAGGGTTAGGGTTAGGGTTAGGGTTAGGGTTAGTTAGGGTTAGGTTAGGGTTAGGGTTAGGGTTAGGGTTAGGGTTAGGGTTAGGGTTAGGGTTAGGGTTAGGGTTAGGGTTAGGGTTAGGGTTAGGGTTAGGGTTAGGGTTAGGGTTAGGGTTAGGGTTAGGGTTAGGGTTAGGGTTAGGGTTAGGGTTAGGGTTAGGGTTAGGGTTAGGGTTAGGGTTAGGGTTAGGGTTAGGGTTAGGGTTAGGGTTAGGGTTAGTTAGGGTTAGGGTTAGGGTTAGGGTTAGGGTTAGGGTTAGGGTTAGGGTTAGGGTTAGGGTTAGGGTTAGGGTTAGGGTTAGGGTTAGGGTTAGGGTTAGGTTAGGGTTAGGGTTAGGGTTAGGGTTAGGGTTAGGGTTAGGGTTAGGGTTAGGGTTAGGGTTAGGGTTAGGGTTAGGGTTAGGGTTAGGGTTAGGGTTAGGGTTAGGGTTAGGGTTAGGGTTAGGGTTAGGGTTAGGGTTAGGGTTAGGGTTAGGGTTAGGGTTAGGGTTAGGGTTAGGGTTAGGGTTAGGGTTAGGGTTAGGGTTAGGGTTAGGGTTAGGGTTAGGGTTAGGGTTAGGGTTAGGGTTAGGGTTAGGGTTAGGGTTAGGGTTAGGGTTAGGGTTAGGGTTAGGGTTAGGGTTAGGGTTAGGGTTAGGGTTAGGGTTAGGGTTAGGGTTAGGGTTAGGGTTAGGGTTAGGGTTAGGGTTAGGGTTAGGGTTAGGTTAGGGTTAGGTTAGGGTTAGGGTTAGGGTTAGGGTTAGGGTTAGGGTTAGGGGGTTAGGGTTAGGGTTAGGGTTAGGGTTTTACGATTAGGGTCAGGTTAGGCATCTGGTCGGCCACTGTGAGAACAGGATGCTGGACTAGATGAGCCCCTGGCCTGCTCTCACCGTCTCTTCACAGAAACCACAGGAGGGGAGAGTTGCTCCTGCGCTCAGCTTTGGTCTACTCACCACTGGTGTGCTAACCACACTTGCTCACTCTAGCTATGCTGCAGTTTCTCTTTGATGGTAGCGTCACATCAAGTGTGGAACAGGTGAGTGATGCCACAGCGACCTGGCAGGTACAAGAGTGGACACTGACAGAGAAAACCAAACAAGACGTACCCTGGCTGCATTTGGTTCATATTATTTACCTTTAATGGTTTTTTATTGCCTCATGGCTGTCAAAGTGACACAATGGCTGAAGAGTTATAGGTGAGTTGGTAATGACTGTCCTTGAGCTAATGAGGCTTAATTGCTTCCAAATTTGCAAAAAGGCTTTGAAACAGGCTCTTGCTGCAGCCCATTGGTGTGGTGGAAGGTAATAATAATAATAATTAATAATAATAATCAATAATAATAATAATAATGTATTTATACCCCGCCCATCTGGCTGAGTTTCCCCAGCCACTCTGGGCAGCTCCCAATTGGAGTGTTAAAAACAATCCAGCGTTAAATATTAAAAACTTTCCCCAAAAGGGCTGCCTTTTAAAGATAGGATATCTGCTTATTTCCTTCACATGTGAAGGGAGGGCGTTCCACAGGGCGGGCGCCACCACCAAGAAGGCCCTCTGCCTGTTTCCCTGTAACCTCACTTTTCACAATGAGGGAACTGCCAGAAGGCCCTCGGAGCGGACCTCCAGTGTCAGGGCAGAACGATGGGGGTGGAAAGGAATTGCTGAACAATTAACAGAAGTGGAATACAAAAGGGAGGTGTGAGGAGGTCGTGGAAACAAGTGAACGAAAGATAAGATAATGAAATGGTTTTTGTTTTTGTTTTATTAGTTTTATGTGTATAGTGTTTTGTATTGTATTGCATTGTCTTTCTTCTTTTTTGCTTTTTTTTGTAGTGTTGTGTTTTAAAATTGTTGGAAAATTAATAAATATTATACAAACAACAAAAAAGACACTCCTTCAGATATACTGGACCAAGGCCGTTTAGGGCCTTTAAAGGTCAGCACCAAACACTTTGAATTGTGCTCAAAAACGTACTGGGAGCCAATGCAGGACCGGTGTTATGTGGTCTCGGCGGCCGCTCCCCAGTCACCAGTCTAGCTGCTGCATTCTTGAATAACCTGCAGTTTCCGGGTCACCTTCAAAGGTAGCCCACGTAGAGCGCACTGCCAGTAGTCCAAGCAGATAGATAACTAGAGCATGCACCACTCTGGCAAGACAGTCTGCGGGCAGGTAGGGTCTCATCCTGTGTACCCAGATGGAGCTGGTAGACAGCTGCCCTGGACCACAAGAGGTGACCCTGTGCCTCCATGGGACAGCTGTGAGTCCAAAATCGACTCCCAGGCCCTGCGCACCTGGTCCTTCCAGGGGCACAGTTACCCCATTCAGGACCAGGGAATCCCCCACATCCACCTTGCCCCCTCTCCTCAAAAACAGTATTTCTGTCTTGTCAGGCATTCAACCTCGATCTGTTAGCGCCATCCATCCTCTAATTGCAAGAGAGCAAGTTCAGGAAACCAGCTTTAGGGTTTGGGGTTAGGGTTAGGGTTAGGGGTTGGGGTTGGGGTCATGAAGAGTCGGACACAACGAAGCGACAAAACAACAACACGCAATAACAAGGAAAAGCAGGACATTCTGAGATCAAATCAGAAACAGGGACAGCTTTTCTAAATCGGTGGTGTTCCTGGAAAATAGGGACACTTGGAGTCTGACCTACTAGTCAGGATCCTGCTCTCTCAGTGGCAGATCAGTTGTCCATGAGAAGTCCGCAAGCAGAAGAGGAGTGTAGCAACACTCTCCTCATTTGTGATTTGCAGTAATTAAGAATTAGGAGGATTGAGGAAGGACTTCAGCATCATAGCTAGTTGCCACGGAAGGTCTTATTCCCACTCTGACACTCAACTTGCACGGATCAGAGATAATCCTGACAGGAGAACTTGGTAGTCGTGGAAGGACTCAGGAAATCTTAAATTGACTGCTGCCAGCTGGCCTACAACTTGGACCTTGTTCCAGGGGAGGGAGGCAGAGATGTTTCTATGGGCTGGAAGAGGCCATTTCAACACAGAAGTGCCTACCCGTTCTCCACAAGGCTGACCGCACAAAGTGTTCATTTTGGAGCTTGGCTGATGTGGTTGGGACCTGCCAGTATCAGTACTCAAGTTTGGCACCCATCTGATCTCTAAATGGGATAAATGGAATGAGGATGTCTTCTTCTAAAATCATCTCCTGCCAAGGAGGTGCCAGTTATTTCCTCTTGGGAGAGAGTCAGAAAACCACACAAGCCCACTCAGAACCTGCTCAGATGAAGGATGTCAAAACTTGATCTTGATCCCCAGATCCTGGTGTCACCATCTTTTTGATTGGCCAAGTTGAGCCACGTCAGGCAAGCGCTGTCCATTGGGAAGGGGATAAAACCTGGAGGTGCAGGACTCCTCTGGAAGCAGGGAAGTCTCAGTTCCAGTTTGGGGAGAAGAACCTGTGACTCCTGTCCCACCAAGAGCAACAGACGCTTCTGCAGATCCCGAGAAAGAGAGGCAAGGTAAGTCAAGAAAACCCACTGGATATGATCATTGAAACTAGAACACCTCCCAAAAAGGAAAGTCTGGACCCTGAATGCCCCACAGAATTTGCATATCTAAAACTGTGGTTTTCTTTTCTTTTCTTGACATTAAACGTCGTAAGGCACTGTGGTGATCACACAGGGTCCCCGGACATTTAACGGTCTATTGATCCCTGTGCCACCACTGTGCTCGCTTCCCTGCTGCCACCAACCAGTTACTCTCTAGTAAAACACTGAGTCCAGTCAGTTGTTAAAAGTTAGCCAAAAAACAAGTTTATTTTACAAACAATAACAAGTTATGGTTTCTCAGATAATATTCCCATCATTATTTTAACTTTAGTTTCTTTACCGGCCTATGCCTTCCTAATACTTTCTGACTGATTATCTCAACTGTTTGGCTGAGGCCTCTTATCAAATTCTCTCCCTCTCTCACACCAGACTAGCCAAACCCACAGACTTATCCTCTCTGTCTCTTCTAACTCCAGACTGTCTTCTCAACAACTCTAACTCTCTCAAAAAACCTATGGGCTTAAACCTTATACACAGTTAACTCTGCCCCCTGGGTTCCCATTGCTTAGTCATTTTACAATTAGGCTTAGTCATTTTACAATTAGGGCAAATGCCACAGGCGCCTCTATCACTTTGGAGAATAAGAGCTCTCCAGGCCAACCCAATAGCTCTTGTTGCAGGAACCCCCCCCCCAATCATTCAGTTTGTACAAACACGACACACACATCATACACGACGCTTCTGTTATAAATTCATAGAAAATCACCTGTACATCGGATCTGCACCGTTCCACTTTTATTTTACACCATGAGGGAAGGACTATCAAAGATGGGAGACTTGACACAAGGCAGCCAACATGTCCTACCCAGTTGGCATGCCAACCTTGATTGTCCTAGACAGAAGATAATTCCACTCACAAAGGACCTGCATATGGAAGTGGATTCAGAGGGACTGAAACAAAGGACAGTGACCAGCCCTTCCCTCTGGGGCAGAAAACAGTGAACTCCTCTTTGTCCTCAGGAATGTAATCATGGGGAGGGGGAAAGGAGGAACCGGACAGGTGACAAGACACTCAGGTTACCTCCACAACTCCCTGAACCCCTCCTCTTTGTGATGTGTCAGTGATGTAGTCATGATGTAGTTATGATGTAGTCTTAGGGGTGTAGCATGGGGGATTAGCAGCCAATAAAAGTTTGGGGGTTCCGTTGTTCGGGGCTTCCATCTGGTGGCAGGTGGGAGTCCTGTCGCGACAGTCTTCAATAAAGACCAAGCCTCCTGGCTGCTGGTATTCCTGGCTGGTGTCCTTGTTTTTTGTCCAAGGGAGCCCTCAGATTTCTCCGTTAACATGCTGCTAAGGAGGAACACGACCCCCATGGCTTCCAGCCTAGCCTCCCCTCACTGCCTTCTCTGCTCTCTCCTTGCAGGATGCTCCTCGTCTGGACTTCGCTGCTGCCCCTGGTACTTCTGGCAGGGCGTGGGGAGGCCCAGAACTCCGAGCCTGACCTGGAAAGTACCAGTAAGAGCGGGGAAAAGGGAATGGAAAGGGGTAATCGCCTGTGGGCAAGCAAAACGGTGCCCCTCCCCATGAACAGAGGGCACTCTTATTCCTCCCCCAACAATGGCCTATAAGCTGGTTTCTGACAGTGAAAATCTGGAGGTCACCTTACTCCATGCATGGGTAGGGGGCCTAGGAGTTGGTGGGGGGGAGCAGCAATGAGGAAGATTTCCATGTTGTGGCTGGCATCCACTGCATTCTCTCAAAATTCAAAATGTAGCCACTGGTCCAAAAAATAGGTGACCCTCCGGGTCTATGTCAGGGCTGAAACTCCTTCAGTTCACCTGGTCCCAAGTCGTTCAGGTGTTTACATGTTAGAAACAAGTCCTCGAAGATGCCCCGGCAGGTAACTGACAGCTTCCTCAGCACAGGTCCACTCAGCAACTTGGCCACAGAATCATGCGCCAGCTGCAGCTTCTGAACCCATCCCAAGGGACGTCCCACATAGGGTGCATTACAGTACACCAGTTGTAAGATTACCAACGCATGCATCGCCGTGGCCAAAGTATTCCTGTCCCGGAAAGGGCAGAGTTGGTGCAAATGGGAGCTTCTGCCCACAGAGGTAATCTGAAGCTCCATTAAGAAAGATGGATCTAGGAGCCCCCCAAAACTCTGCACCTCATCCTTCAGAGGGTTCACAATCTCATCTGGCAATGGGGAAGCCCCCAACTTCTGGACCTGGAAACTGATCGCCCACAAAGTCTCATTCTGGCCAGCAAACCACTCGGAGGATTTATGACTGGCAAATGCAATATAAATTTTGTAAAACAGAATGACATTTATTGGCACTGCTGTTATCTGTAGGTTAACTGCTAGTTCTTAATATGGGTGGCAACTGGGAGAACAGGATGCTGGATTAGATGGGCCCTTTTGGCCTGATCCTGCTGCGTCAGGACTATTCTTGTGTTCTTACTGCTCCCTTACTTGCAGAGACAGCATGGTGTAATGGTTAAGAGCGGTGGACTCGTAATCTGGGGAACAGGGTTCGCGTCTCCGCTCCTCCACATGCGGCTGCTGAGTGACCTTGGGCCAGTCACACTTCTTGAAGTCTCTCAGCCCCACTCACCTCACAGAGTGTTTGTTGTGGGGGAGGAAGGGAAAGGAGAATGTTAGCCACTTAGAGACTCCCTAGGGTAGTGATAAAGCGGGATATCAAATTCAAACTCTTCTTCTTCTTCTTCCTCTTCTCCTCCTTCTTCTGCCCCGTCTTCTTTCCATCAAGCTGTTGCTCTACCTCGCAACTTGGCCAGAGGCCGCCCAGCCTGTCAGTCCTCCACTAACCCCCATCCAAGCAATCCGGCAGCCGGCAAAGCTGTCGATGGGAACTCTGATGGGGTCTTCAGTCATGCCTCCTGCACCCACACCCATGAAGAATATGGACCATGGTGGCATGTGGAATTGGACGACCGGTATGCTATCTCCTCTGTGGTGGTGAAAAACCGTGCAGACTGCTGCAGCAAGAGACTCCTGGGTGCCCAGATCCGTGTGGGAGACCACGTGATTGACAATGGCAAGTTCAACCCCCTGTAAGTTCCCGTTGCCCCTCCCCTCCCCACTTGTCCTTCAGCCAAGGCATCCTAGGAGACACTCTCAAGATCACCGCCTGCAGATTCGTTCACTTGTAGCTCCTTTGTTCTATTCCCAATCGGGGGGGGGGGAGCAGGGGGTAGTGGATTCTGCCCATATTTCAAGACCTGCTTCTGTGTGGCATGGCAAGGGCTAATTCCTGCTCCTAGGTGGAACGGCCTCTCTGACTTCTCCACTTGGATGCTTCACTGATGTCTCAAGTTCAGTAAGTCCAAGACTGAACTTCTCATCTTTCCTCCCCTCCCTCTTCTTTCGCTCTCCCTCTTCCCTGACACTCCTGCCTTCTTCATCAAGCATGAAGCCATGACTTCCCCTTGGAGTCCCCTTTGGTTTGAATCCTATCCTCGAGAGTGAACAAGCATGTTCCCTCCTCCATGTGACAGCCCTAAGATATTGGAAGATGGCTATCATATCTCCTCTCAGTCACCTCTTTTCCAGGCTAAAACTACCCAGGTCCCTCAACTGTGCTTCATAAGGCTTGGTTTCCAGACCCTTGATCATCTTGGTTGCCCTTTGTGGCGTTTGCCCTCCTAGGTGGGTCATAAGGAAAGGGTTAAATGAGTGTGAAGTGATTGGCCAGTGGGAACCCAAGAGGAGGAGTTAGAGTTAGAGTTGGAGTTGTGTGGAAGTCAGTTGGGAGTTGGAGAAGGAAGAGGGAAGACAAGTCTGTGGGTTGGTCTAGTTTTGATGTGAGAGTGAGTGAAACTGTTAGGAGGAGTCAGATAGACAGTTGGGATAATCAGTTAGAAGTTATTAGGAAGGTATAGGCCAGTATAGAAACTAAGGATAAGAAATTGACAAGAAAAATTATCTGAAACCATAAACCTGTTAAGGCTTATAAAATAAACTTGATTATTTGTTTTAATGTTAACAACTGTCTGGACTCAGTGTGTACCCGACAGAAACGGGTTGGTGGCAGCGGGGTAGTGATCATAGTGGTGGCACAGGGATCAATAGACCGTCAAATGTCCTGGGACCCTGTGTGATGCCACACCCTCCTCTGCAAACCTTCCAGCTTGTCAACATCCTTCTGAGACTGTGGTGCCCAGAACTGGACACAGGACTCCAGGCATGTTCTGACTAAGGCAGAATAGAGGGGTACTATTATTTCCCTTGATCTGGACACTAGACTTCTGTTGATGCAGCCTAGAAGAGCATTGGCTTTTTTTGCTGCTGCATCACACTGTAGCACCTTAAAGACCAACTAAGGTAGTTCTTGGTATGAGCTTTCGTGTGCAAGCACACTTCTTCAGACTTCTTCAGGTATCTGAAGAAGTGTGCTTGCACACGAAAGCTCATACCAAGAACTACCTTAGTTGGTCTTTAAGGTGCTACTGGAAGGATTTTTTTTGTTTTGACTATGGCAGACCAACACGGCTACCTATCTGTAACATGTACTGCTAGTGAGCCAGGGGCTCCCGCAGCCATGGAAATACCTCAGAGGGTAGACGGAGTCATTCTGAATTGTTTCCACCCCAAGGTTGACCTTCCGTTTCTCTCTGTAGTTGTGGGACCATCACAGATGATAGCCTTGGCTCCATCAGCACCATCAATTGCCAAGGGATGAAGGGTCGCTATGTGAGCGTGAACCACTATGGACTAGCTATCCTGACCTTGTGTGAGGTGGAAGTCTATGGAACAAAGTTGGAGGATGAGTCTCAGGGATAACCAGCCATGCGTCGCGTGGAAAGGGGCACGGGCAGAACTGATGGAAGCGGTGTTCGTTGTCCAATAAACATCATTTGAGCAGCCTTCTTTCGTCTCTCCGATTTGTTGGTCAGAACCAAGGGGGTCTGTGATTTTGCCTGTGCCAGAGAGCAGAGCCATAGAGGAGGCCAAGTGACGCCTTGTGGAGACTGCAAGTCCTATTTGCCAGGGATCCCTCACAAAGAGAACTAGTCGCACAACGAAGGAAGCCAGAGAATTATGCACTAATGTAGTGATCAGGTGGGATTGCTATGAGGAATTATAAAAAATATGGAGCACGCCATTTATGTCAGCAATGAAAGCATTGCGTTGACTGGGTTTGAGACATTTTGATATGATTTCTGATAATCCATGCCTCTGCGTCTCTGTCCTATTTCTCTGCCTGACAGGCACGTATCAGCATTCTAAGCACAGGCCAGTTGCTTCACTGGGCATCCTGGGCCATCAAGATAGTAAGCAGCTTCTTTCATGTAGTTATTGTTAGTTTTGTTAATCTTAGGGCCAGGAAGAGAGTTCACAAGGAGATGGTAAATACTGCCATCCTGCCTTTCCTGTTTACTGCTGTTTACGACCTCCAGAGTTTCCTAAAAGCATTCCTCCTTGCTCCCTATTTTATTTACCCTGAACTATGCATGCTCAAGTAGGAAATAGTTTCTTTGTAGTTAAAAGGATTTCTTCTGATCTGACTTTGTCCCCACGTGGGGTTTTTTGAAATCCTCAGAGGAAATCTGATTGGTTCTTACGAACACTGTGTAAAAAGTTCTTTGGTGAATAAAACGACCTGGGCCGGAGGGTGGAGAGGAATTATTATTATACGCACTCCTCCCAGAGTCTTGCTGCTCAAGCCTCCTGTGTATTCTATTAATCAGAGTCCAATCCTTCCTTGCTTTGGGAATGCTACAGACTAAGACAGAGGTCCTTGAACTACGGTCCGCGGGCCAGATCCGGCCCGCCAGGGTCCTGAACCCGGCCTGCCTGGCAATTGCCTCCACCACCGCCACCCTTATTCGTATCTCTTTGGCCTCACTCCCGACGCACATGTGCCCCTTGTCAGTTGGGGAGGTTTTTCTACGGCGAGTGTGACGGGACATACATGGCCAAGATGGCGGCTGCTCCCAGAGGCGGTTCTTGACCAGGCAGGAGCAGCAGTGGGGCCAGCATGGTGGATGTGGCAGGTAAGCATGGGAGGCAGCGGGGGAGGGGTGCCTGACTGGGGGGGGGCAGAGGGGAAGGGCAGAGACCCCGGGCCTCCTCCCTTAGTCCTCACACTCCCTCGGTCTCTGCAGTGTTGCAGGAAACCCCCCCCCATCATTCAGTTTGTACAAACTCGACACATACACTCACACACGACATACATGATGCTTCTGTTATAAATTCATAGAAAATCACCCGTACATCGGATCTGCACCATTCCACTTTTATTTTACACCATGAGGGAAGGACTATCAAAGGAGGGAGACTTGACACAAGGCAGCCAACACGTCCGCAGTGAGCCCTACCCAGTTGGCATGCCAACCTTGATGGTCCTAGACAGAAGATCATCACACTCACAAAGGACCTGCATATGGGAATGGATTTAGCACGGACTGAAACAAAGGACAGTGACCAGCCCTTCCCTCTGGGGGCAGGAAACTGCAAACTCCCTTTTGTCCTCTGGAAAGTACTCATGGGGAGGGGGAAAGGAGGAACTGGACAGGTGACAAGACACTCAGGTTACCACCACAACTCCTCCCTCAACCCCTCCTCTTCGTGACGTGTCAATGATGTGGTCATGATGTAGTCTTAGAGGTGTAGTTTGCGGGATTAGTAGCTGATAAAAGTTGGGGTCTTCTTTTGTTCAGGGCTTCCATCTTGTTCCACCTGGTGGCAGGTGGGAGTCCTGACAGTCTTCAATAAAGACCAAGCCAACTGGCTGCTTTTTTGCCCTGGTATTCCTGGCTGGTGTCCTTGTTTTTTTGTCTAAGGGGGCCCTCAGATTTCTCAGTTTACAGCAGAGGCACCGGCGATTATGGTGTTGGGTGTGACAGGGAGTGTGTCAGTAGCCCTGCACCCGCTCGTCATCTTCAAAATCAGCGACCGCTGGATCTGGATGCACTCGCAGGAAGGGTGTCCCCGTGAGTAGGGGCAGGAGGAGGGGAGCTGCACCTGTTGGACCTCTGCCTGCGAGCTGGGAAGGGGCAGCCTCCCACAGGACCCCGGAGTGAAGGAACCGAGCCTGGCCAGGGGGGCCAACATGTCTCCTGCAGCCCCAGGCCACCCACCTTGCAAAGGTGCCCGGGAAGGGAGCGGAGAGAGAGAAATCCTCCCCCTCCAGCTCTGGTGAGACTCGAACTCGCATCGCCCTGGAGCAGAAGCCGCTCTGGCTGGGGCTGGTGGGAGGAGCCATCCCTGTCCTGAATCCCCCCTCCCCGTGGGAAGCCTGTGGGCTCCTCAGACTGCTCATGGACTACAACCCCCATCAGCCCCTGCCAGCACGACCTGATGGGAGATTGAGTCTGAGAGCTGCCTGAGGGCCACTGGTCCCGCTTCCCTGGAGTAAGGGCCGGGATGCTGAAGGGAGGCTTTGTTTGCTGGTTGGATTTTGGGTTGTAGCTACGCAGGTCTAGTTGCTGGATTGTCCTCTTCTTCTTCTTCTTCTTTGTATAATTTTTATTGAAGATTTAAAGAAAACATATTATCCAAAAACATGTCATCCTTAATTCTTTTTCCCCAAATCAAATATCTTTAATACGGTCAGTGACCAGGAAGCAATTTATAAAATATGACATTAAGAGTAGTATTGTGCTAGAAGTAGCAGTAAAAATATGGCCAATTCTCAGAATTGGTGCTTATATTTATGACCAGGTTTCGACTTTTAAGGTTTTAAAAATTCAATTCAGGTGTCTCTACTGTTTATTATCGTTCCTTCGATGTTTACAATTTGGACTCCGTTGTTGACATCATTGCTCGTCTTATTCTTGTTGCAATGTAACAGTACTTTGCCACGGACCTGTTGATTTCAGGCTCTTTGTCAGCTAAGAGGTGTCTGATACAGGTGTCGTCTGTACTGCGAGGTATTTTCCACAGAATCGGTTCGATCAGCTCTTTTCTTGAGTCTCGATATAATGGGCAGTATAAGATGACATGCCCAATGGTTTCGATTTCGTTGTTGTTACAGGGACATAATCTTTGTTCGATTGGTATTTTATTGTATCTTCCCTCTAGAAGAGCTGAAGGGAGAGCGTTAAAGCGGGCCCTGGAAAATGCCCATCGGTGTTTAGCGTTGTCTAGAACTTTGAGATAGTTTGCTAGATGGGGCCTTTTCCCCCATTTTCCTCCCTCCTCCCACTCTCCCACACAAAAACCCACCCACCCCACCCCGGCTTCCCTCAGTTCCAGTCTTTGATTTCTCTAAGAATGCTGTTTTCTGCATGTTACACAGTTGTATAAATCCTTAAATTATTTAACTGATTATTGTCAATAAAAAGTTTGTGAATGTTTATTCAAAGCTAGCCAAGGAGTCCAGTTCGCTTTGTTGCGCCTTCAGATACTTTGTGAAAGGTTCCCATTCATCTTTAAAGTCACAGGTATCCTTGTCCCGTAGCTTATATGTCAATTTTGCCAGTTCTGCATAGTCCATCAGTTTTTCTTGCCATGATTCTTTAGTTGGGGTTTCTTCAGTCTTCCATCCTTGTGCTATTAGGACTCTCGCGGTCGTTGTCGCATACATGAAGATGTTTTTCAGCTTTTTTGGTAGATATTTCCCTACAATCCCTAACAAAAATGCCTCAGGTTTTTTAACAAATGTTAGATGGAACATTTTCTTCAATTCGTTGTATATCGTTTCCCAAATTTTTTTAATTACAATCCCACCACATATGATAAAATGTCCCTTCCTTTTCCTTACACTTCCAACATATATTTGAACTAGTTTTGTACATTTTCCCTAGCTGCACTGGTGTCGTGTACCATCTGTACATCATCTTCATGTAATTCTCCTTCAACAGGGAACAATCTGTAAATTTTAAATCAGTTTTCCACAATTTCCCCCAATCTTCCATCATAATGTTGTGACCTACATCTTATGCCCATTTAATCATGACTGATGGTGGGTTGTCATTCTTGGGAAGGGCTCAGTATGGGCTGTTTTAGCTTTTCACAGAAAACCGGCAGAGTTGGGCCTTCTCAGGCTTACAGTGGGGAAGACACAGCACTAAAGGAAAAAAGAGAGGGAGGAGGTGGAAAAGCAAACCTCTTTCTTCATGACTGTTTTCTTGTAATGAGCTGGTGGAATGAGCCCAAAGCCGCTTGCATCCCTCACTATGACTAGCAGTGACAAATATGGAACCGGATATTGACCATCTCATTAGCCAAAAGCAGGCCCGTACTTCCTATTGAAATACTTATAAATTTATGTTGATTAAAATTTTAAATATTATATTGTTTTTCCACCACAAATAAAATATGTGTAGTTTGCATAGGAATTCGTTCATATTTTTTTCAAACTGTCATCTGGCCCCCAACACTGTCTGAGGGACAGTGAACCGGCCCCCTGTTTAAAAAGTTTGAGGACCCCTGCGTTAAGAGGACATGGATGTAGAAATCCCACCTGTTGGCTGGGGGAACCCAGACGGATGGGCAGGGTATAAATAATAAAATTATTATTATTATTATTAACCAGAAATCCTTGAAGCGATTGCACCTCAGCATTCTTGATAGTGAAGGTGAGGAAATACCACAGCAGATTATATACAATTAATGTCTTGGTTTTTATTTGACATTTCCTCAAGCTTTATCATGAAGCTTGGCAGAAGTTTAGAACCCTTCAGGAAGATGGCAATTCCTTCTTTCAAAGTCAATAATTGGCGAAGAGATCCCTCAGGAACACCTGTGCACCATGGTGGTTGTGGTTCAGGAAACAAATGGAGGGAATGGGTTTTTTACATCAGCGGTGTCTTAAAAGCAAAACACCAAGAAGAATGGATTCCGGAAGCAGCAGGGAGAAATCCAAACTCGTCTTCTTCTTCCTTCAGGTATACAGGGCTGTGGCCGTTTAGGGCATTAAATTCTATAAATTCCTAGGGGGTCATCTGTCAGTATTTTCATCCCTCCCATTGCAAAGGATCACCCGATCCTATTGTCTACTTTCATACTTCGAGACTTCCGTCCTTGGTACTGTTGTGCTTTTTCTTGCAAGGAGGCAGGATCTCTCCTCCATGTTTGTTATGTTCTTTTATTTGACTAATTGTAGAAATAAATTAGGTATGCTGCAAAACCTCCACAGCTTTGCTTCTGTTGACTCTGCTGAGTTTGGGTGCAAACATGAGCAGCTGTGAGTCCACAGCCACAGGACCTGCTCCTCGTTGGTGCTCCTATGTTCCTCTGATCGGAGGGTCAGAGAAGGAGTTCCGGTCGCCCAGCCCATGCAGGCGCTGAAGAGGTGGGCTAACAGGCATACTGAAGTCATCCTGGCTGAGGCAGATGCTTACGACTTTTGTAATTATGTAGATCTTGTTATGCTGTAAGCCGCCTTGAGCATTGTTTTGTAACTGTGGAAAGGCGGCATATGAATGAAAAATGAAAAACGGAAAAAATGAGATGGGAGCTGTAGTCAAAAACATATGATTGATATATATGAGACCCTGGGGTTCCTATAACAATTCTGGTGTGGGGAGCTCTGGGCTGCCACTTGGATGAGGAGGATGTTGCCTGGATGCTGCACAACGAGACATCAGCCGCTTCAAATCTGCAGTGGACAAGCTCTCTGTTAACTCTGTCCAAGGTGCCCAACAGACAATGTGACATGGCTGCTGTGTCCACACTAGGGCATAAATACCCACTCCTGTGGGTCACGGCTTCTGCTGGGCACTTTTGATTCATGCCTCCCAAATCCACCTCCCTCTTTCCTGTCCCCACTGGTGGGCAGTGTCAGGTGGGAGGGCCTCACACTCTTTGGGGCCCCCCTCTGCCCTGCGCCCCACGGCGACAGCCAGGATGTGGTGTGAGTGGCAGGATTTGTCTCAGGAGGACATGTCAGGTTCCCAGTGGGGTGGGTGTGAAGACCCCTGAGCAGCTGGGCCAAACATCTCCCCCACCTGAGCATTGGGGGGGACTAACAGTGTTTTTAATAACCAACAGACAAAGAAATAAGTCACTGAGCAACGGGAGCTCACCCCATCACGGGGATTCGAACCACTGACCTTTTGATCGGCAAGCCCAAGAGGCTCAGTGGTTAGACCACAGCGCCACCCGCGTCCCATTAAAGGAGCTTTAAATGTGCCATTAAATGTATAGGTGTGTGCTGTCAGGGGGTTAGGTTCACCATTAAACAGAAATAAATTATTTAATCCAGTTCAGAAGATGGTGGTCTGCCTGGCAACAAGAATTCCAAGGATCCTGGGTGTGGGGAGATATGGGGATATTTCCTGGGGAGGTTATATTTATTTAGAAAAGCATATATCCCTTCCAGGACTCTTGCATTGCTCAGGGTGGCTTAGACCAATTTATGACTTTTTATTAGTAAGTGAACAAACGGTCCCTTGGTGCTGAGGTGCAGCCCCAGTTGTGATTCCCAAAGAGGTTGTGGTGACGCGTCCACAGGTGCTCTCATTGGCTGGGGGCTGTCTATGATGTCACAAAGGCACCTGTCAGTTGCCTGGCTATAAAGGTGGCCTCTCCCTCTTCCCAGCCCAGACCTCGATGGGCAGCAGCTCTGGGGGGGTCTTCTTCCTCAGGGAGGCAAAATGGCAGGAGGAAGGAGGCACTCATCCTGCAATGGGATGCTGAGGAACAGGCAGAAGGCAAGTTCACTTTGTTACAGAAATGACAGGGGGCCCCCCCCCACATCTTTAAAGTTGTTACAATGTTACAAATATCATGCCTGGATGTATCCTTTTGACTTGACAGCTCAGGGAAGATACCTAGCTTTATAAATTCATAGAAAATCCATACTTTAACCGGCTCTCCTCATTCCAACGCCATTTTAACCCTTAAAGAAATTTGGCTCCACCTCCCTCCATGAACCAAGAAGCGGGAAGCCATGTAGGCAGCAGGAACAGGGCGTCCCACCATAATTCCCCAAGCCTCAGAGCACAGACACGGCCCCCCACCAAGAAGGTATCAAGAGTTTTATTGTTCTTTCAGTGATGGGGACTTAAGGGGTGTTGGGAAAGGGGTCTGAGAAAGTGACCTCATGTTGGACTTGTTTACCCCCCTCCCCATTTGTGACATGCCAGTGATGTAGTGATGATGTATCAGTGCTGCCTCTCGAAGTGTATTCTGGGGGAAAGAGGGAAGGTTGAAAAGAGGAGGTCACCCCTTACTCGGGGTTCTTACTCCTTTGGAGACCTGTTGCGCAACAATAAAGATCATGGTCTACTGACTGCTGTTTTGCTCCAAATTACTTGGCTGGAACTTCCTTCATTTACTGACTGCATGGACCCACAGGGGACTTGCACCCCGATGAGCTGGACTGTTGAGTAGTCTCTCACCCCGGAATTTTTTTCATAACAAGGTCAAAAAATAATTAAAAAGGAGGTGAGTTTAAAGACATGGCAGGAAGGTGAATTGGGACAACCACTGGGCAGCTTAGCATGTCTAAACAACACATTTAAACCTAGTTTATTTATTTTTTTTATAAGATATTTATTAAGATTTTCAAAAGATTACAAAAAAAATAAAAAATAAAAATACAAAAAAATAAAAATAGTTAAAAACAATTCAGTCTTTCCGTCACATATTTTTCATTTGCTTATTTCCCGGACCTCCTCACGCCTCCCTTTTCTGTATTCCAGTTCAAATTGTTAGTTCAGCAAATCCCTCCCCTCTTCATTCATCTTAGTCTTCAAATTTAAAAATATTGTAACATTAAATTTTTACCTATTAATAGCCATTTTCTCATATTCCTTTATAGCATTACAGCTAAAGACCACTTAGTTTCTATCCAACATCATTCTAGCATTCATTAATTTTACAATATTTCTGTAAATAATCTTTAAACTTTTTCCAATCTTCTTCCACCAACTCTTCTCCCTGGTCTCGGATTCTGCCAGTCATTTCTGCCAATTCCATATAGTCCATCACCTTCATCTGCCATTCTTCCAGGGTGGGTAGATCTTGTGTCTTCCAATACTTTGCAATAAGTATTCTTGCTGCTGTAGTAGCATACATAAAGAAAGTTCTATCCTTCTTTGGCACCAATTGGCCAACGATGCCCAGGAGAAAGGCCTCTGGTTTCCTCAGGAAGGTATATTTAAATACCTTTTTCATTTCCAACTGGGTGCAGACTCAGACCTGCAAGAGGAAGTAATATTTGACCCTAGGCAGTGCCAAGTGATTTGAATATATGAAGCCTCCAATTTCTCATTTAACACATGTTTGCAACAAACACTAAAAGCCATATTTATTTTGGCCACATCCCAGCCATGCCCATTAAAACACAAAGTCAATAGTCTGATTGAATTGACAGCATCAGTCTACCTATGTGAGGTCACGAGGCTCTCTTAAGAGTTTCATAGCAACCTTCTGGATCAGACCAGAGGTCCATCTCCTTGTCCAGAATCCCGTTCTCTCCATTGCCAACCAGGTGCCCATGGGAAGCCCACCAGAAGGAGAGGAGTGAAACAGCACTCTCGCTATTTGTGGTTCCCAGCAATTGCCATTCAGAGGCATCTTTCCATTTTAAAGTTCGGAACAGAGTAGTTGCTTTGGAAGACGGTCATCAGGCATCCACACAACATGACCAGTCCAAGGAAGTTGATGTTGAAGAATCATTGCTTCAACACTGGTGATCTTTGCTTCTTCCAGTACCCTGATATTAGTTCACCTGTCTTCCCAAGTGATGTGTAAAAATTTTCAGACACCATTGATGGAATCTTTCGAGGAGTTGGAGATGGCGTTTAGAAGTGGTCCATGTTTCACAAGCATATAGTAAGGTTGGCAGTACAATAGCTTTGTAAACAAAGTCTACCTATGTGAGGTCAAGAGGCTCTCTTAAGAATTTCATAGCAACCTTCTGGATCAGACCAGAGGTCCATCTCCTCGTCCAGAATCCTGTTCTCTCCGTTGCCAACCAGGTGCCCATGGGAAGCCCACCAGAAGGAGAGGAGCGAAACAGCATTCTCGCTACTTGTGGTTCCCAGCAATTGGCCTTCAGAGGAGGAAGAACATTGTCACCATGACTAGCAGCCATCAAAGGCCTTAGTTGCCGTCTGGCACTCAACTGCCATAGATGACAGAGTGTGGTGGTCATGGCAGGGCTCAGGAAATGCCAGACTGGCTGCGTCCAATACAATGGTACCTCGGGATGCGAACGGGATCTGTTCTGGAGCCCCGTTCACATCCTGAACAGAACGCAAGATGTGACGGCGTGTCTGTGCATGCATGGGTTCCGTTACTTCCGGGTTGCCGCGGAGCGCAACGCGCTCAACCCAAAGCACATTCAACTAAAGGCATTACTGTACTCACTTTAGCTTCCACCTGCCCTCTAAATGCAACAAGGATATATTGCTAAACTCAAGGCAGATCCTCTGGTGATAAGGTGGTGCAAATTCCCCCTCCTCTTGGCAGAGATGTAGAAACCACACAAGGCATGTGAGAAGACGGATGTAAACAGTGGATCTTGATAGCCAAATTCCCGTCTTCCTGATTGGTTGGGTTGTTCTGAGTCAAACAGGAACTGCCTGTTTGAAAGGGGATAAAACCAGGAGGGACAGGACTCAGCTGGAAGCAGGGAGGTCTCTGTCTCAGTTTCAAGAGAAAAACCTGGGCTTGCCAAGCCACCAAGAAGGACAACAGGCGCTGATCCCAAGAAAGAGAGCCAAGGTAAGTCTGGGAAATCCATTGGATGTGAGCCGTGAAGCCTAGAACATGCCTAGAAGTCTTGACCCTGAATGGGCAGATCTGAAATGGCATTGTTATTGTTCAGGGCTTATATAGGACTGTCAGGAATCTCTGGAGGACGACCGTTCTCCTGCCCAACGTGGTCCTTGATTGACCTGAATGCCTCTTCAGCACTGCTGGCTGCAAGCAAAGCCCTCTGAGGCTGCTAAGGGGGCCAGACCCCCAGGGCTCCTGCAGGCAGCTGTCCCTCACTGCCATCTCCCCTCTGCCTTTGCAGGATGCTCCCCTCCTGGACTTGGCTGCTGGCCCTGACGCTCCTGTCAGGCCAGGCGGAGGCCCAGAGCTGCAAGCCAGAACTGCAAGGCATTGGTAAGACATGGGGGACGCAAGGGCCAGTCTATGGGTCAAAGCAACACTTTGGAGTTTTATTACAAGCAAGCATGAGATAGACTTTATTAAGTAAATAGGATTCCATTTCGGTCTGTTGGCCCTGCTGCTTTTGGAGCGAGAGACCCTGGGTCAGCCTCATAGGATCATAAAATCGTAGAGTTGAAAGGCACCCCAGGGGTCATCTAGTCCAACCCCCTGCAATGCAGGAATCTCAACTAAAGCGCCCATGACAGGTGGCCATCCAACCTCAGCTTAAAAACCCCCAGGGAAACAGAGTCCACCGTCTCTCGTGGGAGCCTGTTCCACTGCCAAACAGCTCTTACTCTCAGAAAGTTTTTCCAAATGTTTAGTAGGAATCTCCTTTCTTGTAACATAAGGCCATTGGTTCAAGTCCTACCCTCCAGAGCAGGGGAAAACAAGCTTGCACCGTCTTCCAGGTGACAGCTCTTGAGATATTTGCAGATGGCTCCTCTCAGGCTCCTCTTTTCAGATGGCTCCTCTCAGGCTCCTCTTTTCCAGGCTAAGCATATTCAACTCCTTCAACCGTTCCTCATAAGGCTTGGTTTCCAGACCCTTGATCATCTTGGTCGCCCTCTTCTGCACACCTTCCAGCTTGTCAACCTCCTTCTTAAATTATGGTGGCCAGAATTGGACACAGTATTCCAAGGCAGAAGAGAGTGGAACAATTACTTCCCTTGATCTGGACCCTAGACTTCTACTGATGTAGCCTAGAATAACTTTCCCCCTTTTTTTTGCTTCTGCATCACTCATCTTAAGTTGTGGTCCATCAAGACCCCTAGATCCTTCTCACAGGAATTCTAGTAAGCGAGTGCAATTCAATAAAAAGTTTTGTTCTGTATGCACCTCCTCGTTTCTCTGAGCTTCTGTGCGGACATGGGGCTTCCTTCTCTCAAGAAGGGCACATGGCTGCAGTATAATTAAGAAATGCTACCACATCGGTGGTATTGTATTCTTTAGTGTCACTGCTCGTTCTGAGCATGGAAGAAATTTAAGTTTAAAAATAATAATGAGCCTGCTGTTGCCTTCCTCTCCTGGTTGGGGGCTTCCCAGAAGTATTTGAGTGGATGAGACGGGCTGGTCTCTTATTGCACTATTATTTGTCCTTGTCCCCACCTTCTTTCTCGCATTCCCTGACTCCAGCTCGCAACCTGGCCAGAGGCCACCCAACCTGTCAGTCCTCCGTCTTCCCCCACGAGATTATTGGAACAGCAAGCAAAGCCGTGGATGGGAACTGCGGTGGGGACTGGTATAAAACGGGCACCTGCACCCACACGCAGCTGGACATGGAGCCCTGGTGGCACGTGGACCTGGGCCAGCAGTACGCCATCTCTGCTGTGGTGGTGAAGAATCGTGGGGACTGCTGCGGTGAGAGACTCCAGGGAGCTGAGATCCGCGTGGGAGACTCTGTGGCTGACCATGGCAAGTCCAACCCCCTGTAAGTTCCAGCTGCCTCTTCCCAAAATCTCCTTCCAGAAATCTCCCTTCTTGTAACTTGGAGTCCTCGGTTCAGATCCTCCCCTCCATCCCAGGAGAAAACAAGATTGCTCCATCTTCCAGGTGACAGCTCTTGAGATATTTGGAGATGGCTCTCATATTTCCCTTTCTAGGCTAAAGATACCCAGTTCCATCAACCGTTCCTCATTAAGACTTGGTTCCCAGACTCTTGGCCATCTTGGTCGCCCTCCTCTACACAGGTCCCAGCAAACACGATGTGTACAGTTTTAATTGTACCAACGTTTAATTGGGGTTTTTGGTAATGATTGCTTTTCTGTTTGTTTTGCAGTTCTTCTTTTTATCTGTAAGCCTGTCACGGTCCGGTTCACAGGCGATCAAAGTCCCGGCTGGGGACGTTGGGACCGGGGGCAAGATGGAGGGGTGGGAGCAGGAACGGGGGTCCAAAAGCCAGGAGTCAGGAAGCCAAGAGTCCAAGGGTTAGAGAGCCGGGAGTCAAGAAGCCAGGGGTCCGAGGATCAAGAAGCAGGGAGTCAAGAAGCCGAGGTTCAAGGATCAGGAAGCAAGAAGCCAAACGCAGCAAGGCAGGGAACATGCTGCTGTGGCAAAGAGCCGAAGGGAAATGCTGACCGTATATCCCTTCCCTGCTCTTGCCACCAGGTGCAGTGAGTTACAAATCGGCCTCACCTGTGTGGCTGCGCCTTGCCTCTTCAGAACAAACTGAGGAAGGCCCCAGTCCTGCAGAGTCCTATTGGTCACAGGGCCTGGCTCCTGCATGCACACCTGACAAAGCCATGCTGAGTCCCATCAGGGGAAAAGATAGGGCATAAATAAAAACACCCCCCACCCCAATCCCTCCTTCAGGGATGGAGTCCAGGCTTTCCTTGGTCCCCTCTCCTCTGCCCGACCTCTTCAGCACATCGCCAGTTCACTTCGCTTCTCCCTCCTCTGTGAAGTTGTGCTTTCCTTAGCCAAAGCTCTGCTCCACCATCAGCTCCTCACCCCCCTTGACCCCTGCAGCCCCCTCCTCCTGGGTCCTCCTCGGACTTCACCTGGCCGCCTCCTGTCTGCTCTCTTCGGCCAGAAGCCCCTCGCCACCAGGCGCTGCCCTTCCTCCAATCCCTCCACTCAGAGATCCGTTATACGCCCCTTGTCCTGCCTTGGCACAGCCATCTGGCCCCTCAGTCTGTGTAAAGACCTGGGCATGCAGTGGACCCTTAAAACAACGCCAGTGGTTAATAATGAAAATTGGGGAATGTGGGAAGCCACCTTTCAGTGATAGGAATGGGAGGGGGCTGACATTTGGGAGTCCTTTCACATACAGCTTTGAGATTTTTCCCTTTAAAATCTAAAGCGGCATAGAAACAAAACGTATGAATAAATGTATGAATGTCCCCATAGACTGAGCTGTTTTGAATTCACCTCCACTTTCTCTCTGCAGCTGTGGGACCATCACAGACACCAGCCTTGGCTCCGTCAGCACCTTGTATTGCAATTGGCTCCAGGGCCGCTATGTGAGCATCCACATCCCGGGGAGGGCTGAATACTTGACCTTGTGCGAGGTGGAGGTCTATGGCACCAAGGCAGAAGACCAGTGCTAGGGATCCGCAGTCTCTGCGCGTGTGTGTTGGCGGGTGAGGAAATAAAGAATTATTCTCTGGTAAACTTCCTCTGAATTGGCTTGTTTTGTCTCTCCCGCATCCCTCCCTGTGAGAGAGATAGATAAACTTGATTCGCATTAGCCAATGGCCAGGGCAACATGAAACAAGCAATATATACAAATAAAAAGACAGCAATGGGTAAAAAGGGCAATCAAATGACCAAGATTATTGTTTGGATCCTCCCTGCGAGAGATGCTGTCCCTTGGCCTGCAGCACAGAACAGGCCACCTGCCGTCCGAGGTTGACCCACAAGTCTTCATTAGACCCACACTCAGGCCTTGAGACTTCATCCCAGAGAGGAAAGGGTCAAATCATAGAATTGTAGAGTTGGAAGAGACCCTAATCCAAGTCGCTGCCATGCAGGAATCTCAGCTGAAGCATCCTTGAAAGATGGCCGCCCAACCTCTGCTTAAAAACCTCCAAGGAAGGAGAGACCATTCCAAAGTCAAGCTGGGCATAATATTGGGGGCTTTTTAGCTGAGAAAAAGAAGGGGGGGGCATAATAAGAGGTGTGTGGAAATTAAGTATAGCACAGAGAACGTGGATAGAGAAGAGATTTTCTTCCTTTGTTCTTAACCAAAGCACTCAAGAAAAGAAGGGATTCTTCACAGTTAACCTGTGGAACTCCCTCCCACTTGAGGCAGCAATGGCCACCAACCTGAATGGCCATTATCGGAGAGGATTAGGCAAATGCGTGGAGGATTAGAAGGCTATCACTGGCTCCTAACCATCATGGCTGGTGCCTCGGAATAACAGGAACCGCAGCTGGCAATTCCAGGGCAGTTTCTGCCGAGGGGAAATTCTGCCAAGCAAAGCCTGGAAAAAGAAGCCAAAGTCTCTGAGATCCGGGCAGTTGCAGAGGCCAGAAGAGAGCAACTCAGAGAAGGAGGGGTCCCTTTGGCACAAGGGGGGGGGCAGAGAGCAAAGGTGGCGGCTTTAGTGGCGGTGTGATAAGAATTTTAAAGTCTTAGATATGTAATAAATGTTCATAAATGTGCCAACCAAGCACGTACATAGATCAGCACAGGAAGACCGACCTGAAACCATTTTTGATTCCCAAACTGAACAAATGTTTTTTCTGCAAGGTCAAAGGAAAATGGAAAAGCCTCCCCATTGTCTTTTCCTTCACAAATCCTGTCTTAAGGGTATGTCTGTGTATGAATAGGGTGAGCCTGTGACCTGGCTCAGGAACGAAGTATTTATCATTACAAAAGACTGGCCAGGCTCCCCAGGGTATCCAGTCAAGTGACCATTAAACAGGTAACCTGCCAGACAGGAGATAAACGACAGGAAAGAAAGAATGCACTCAGATTTCTGCTGTAGACTGCCCTTTCTGTGATGTAGGTATGATGTTTCTGGGGGTGGTCTTGGACTCCAGGGCGGGCAATTTAAAATGTCTATATAAGGGCGGGCACACCTTGATTCCAAGTCCTCATGCTTCTCCTACATGTGAAGGGGGCACCCTGTTGCAACAGTCCAATAAAGATCAGGCTTACTAGCTGCTTTGCTTCTCAATATTCTCTGCTTGGCCTCTGTTATTTTCTCTGACGGATCGGGAACCTACAAAGGACTCTATAAGGGCTCTTGTGTCCCCCATAAGGGAATAAGGGCAGGTTTACATTTATTACAATGGGAGACTCAAATGGAGTTCTGACCCCTTCCACACCCCACAGGCTGTGCAGTGGGCATTTCTGCACCCCAGGGAGCTATGCCCCCCCACCTTGGACTCCTGAGCCTCCCCCCCCTGCCAGGGCAGGCAGCCCGACCCCCCTGAACAGATCCCAGGGACTCTAAACCCCATGAAGCTGCTTTGCTGCCCCCTGGTGGAGTCACTCGGCTGCTGCCAGCCTTGCCTGCTCCCTCCTCGGTAGCAGCGTCAGAGCCTGCAGGATCAGGCCAGTGTCCTCTTCCCCGCGGGAAAGCCGCAAGCAGCCCCAGAAGCTCCCTCTCCCCTCCTGGGATCAGAAGCATGGCTGTCTTCAGCTGCGGAGGCCAAGCAGAGCCAGGCTGGAGATGGTCCAAATCAGGGAAGCCGGAAGGCCGGATTTCTGAGTCAGAAAGATCACTCAGGCCCCAAATCCCCGCAAGTGGCACATAAACATGGCCCAAGCAAGACGAAGAAACTGTGCAAGCAAGACCTACACCCTTGTGCAAATTAATTGAAACAAGGCATGTTTTCTATCTTACTCGTAATCCTGTACTCAAAACAAGTCAGTTGATAATTATGGTGCTGGAAGCCTGCAGCCAATAGAAGGAATGATGCGCTCGCCAGTGGCGTAGCGTGGGGGGTGCAGGGGGGGCCGGCCGCACCGGGCGCAACATCGGGGGGGGGGCGCTCGCACTCACAGCTCTCTGCCCCTACCTGGCTCACTCACTGTCTCTCACTGCAGTACTGGCTGTGCGAATCCGATCCGAGCCGCTGGGTCGTCGCCCACTGTGGAGGGGGTGGGTGCCAGGCGTGCGGTGCGGAGAGAGAGCGAGGGACTATCTGGGGGAGGGACAGTGCAGCGGCCGCCCAGCGCAGCGCTGAGCGCGGAAGAGAACCACACCAGACCAGACCAGGCAGCAGCAAGAAGAAGCTGGCAGCGGCGGCAGGTTAGGGGTTAGGGGGTGCAAATTACTTGCCTTGCCCCGGGTGCTGACAACCCACGCTACGCCGCTGGCGCTCGCCACAATATATTGAGGTTCTACGAAAGAGAGTTCTTCCAGAGCTGGAAAAGAGGTGTCCTGACGGTACTGGGATATTGCAGCAGGACCTAGCCCATCGAAAGTGGTGAAGAAATTCATGAAAGAGCAGCAAATACCGGTACTTGATTGGCCAGGGAATTCCTGGACGAAAATCCCATTGAGAATTTGTGGGCTATATGCAAAAGTCACCTCCGTGCTGCAGACTGTATGGCTATGGAGCAGCTCCTTCAGGCGCTGATTCAAGTGTGGTGCAGGGATCCGAAAATCAACAGTGACTGTTCGAAACTAGGAGACTCCATGCCAAACCATGTTCAAATACTGCTTAAGAAGAGCGGAGGGCATATCCATTACTAATGTACATATACTTGAGTTTTGTACATGTGTATGTGAGTTTTGTACAATAAATTGCTTGTTTCAATTAATTTGCACAAGAGTGTAGAAGAAGCTAGACCTAGAACATGGGTAGGCAAACTGAGGTCCAGGGGCCAGATCCAGCCCAATCGCTTTCTAAATCTGGCCCACAGATGGTCTGGGAATCAGCATGTTTTTACATGAGTAGAATGTGTCCTTTTACCGTATTTTTCACTCTATAAGACACACCAGACCACAAGACGCACCTAGTTTTTGGAGGAGGAAAACAAGAAAAAAAAATCTGAATCTCAGAAGCCAGAACAACAAGAGGGATCACTGCGCAGTGAAAGCAGCGATCCCTCTTGCTGTTCTGCCTTCTGGGATAGCTGTGCAGCCTGCATTCGCTCCATAAGACGCACACACATTTCCCCTTACTTTTTAGGAGGGAAAAAGTGAGTCTTATAGAGCAAAAAATACGGTATTTAAAATGCATCTCTGGGTTATTTGTGGGGCATAGGAATTCGTTCATCCCCCCCCCCAAAAAAAAATAGTCCGGCCCCCCACAAGGTCTGAGGGACAGTGGACCAGCCCCCTGCTGAAAAAGTTTGCTGATCCCTGACCTAGAAGCTAGGTGCTTCCTCTAATGGAGCCGTCTAGAAAGGGCCACCCGCCCCCCCCCCACTTTGACCCAGGAACAGGACCAGCCCAGTGCCTTGTGGCCTCCCCTTTGGGCCCTGGGACGCCCTCTGCCCTTCTTCCTAGAAGCAGCAGGTCCAAGCCCCAGCTAGTCTCTCACCAACCGCCGAGATGTCCCCCCTTGGCATGCCAGGATGCAAGAGGCCAAGGAGTCCTCAGTCCCCTTACCCAGTGCTGTTTGATGGGGCAGAAGCCTGTGCCCCACAGAGCAGCTCTTGAGAACATCTCTGTTTCCCCATTTCCAAGCAGTGGAAGGGCCAAACTTTGCCCTCAAGATCAAAACTGACCACTAGCCCACTCCTGGCCTGTTTCATCCTCACTACTGAAGGAGTCCCACCTCTGTCCTTAGGCAGAAGAACATCAAGAATCTGCTGAACTACAGAATCAGAAATTTGGAAGGGACCCCAAGGGTCATCCAGTCCAACCCCTGCAATGCAGGAATCTCAGCTCAAGCATCCATGACAGATGGCCACCCAACCTCTGCTTATAAACCTCCAAGGAAGAAGACCCCACAACCTTCCACTGTCAAACAGCTCTTCCCATCGGAAAGGTCTTCCTGATGTTGAGTCGGAATCTCCTTTCTTGTAACCTGAAGCCATGGGTTCGAGTCCTACCCTTTGGAGCAGCAGAAAAGCTTGCCCATCTTCCATGCGAAGCCCTTCAGCTATTTCAAGAGAGCTTATCTTGTCACCTCCCCATATCTGGATCAGTCCAACAGCCCATCTAGACCAGCATGCTGCCCTCTCAGATGCCTGGCCATTTCACGTTCCCAGAGGACATCGGGACGGGACTGGGCCTGAACACCTTGGCCTTGTGGGACAACATTGTGGAGGCTTCAGGGGTCAGAATCCACCCCCCACCCCCGAGAGCCTGCTGGCAAAACACTGTGCAGCCCTCTACCTCCCCAACCCTCAGAGCTGGGAAGTCTCAAGGCAGACGCAGCCCTGGCCTTGGGTGGGCGGGACTGTTGTGCGTCACTCAAGGGCCTGGGATGACCCCCCCATCCTTATGTTTTGACACCTGACTGTGTTGTGCTCAAGGTGGAAGGGGCCGCAGCCCAGAACAGAGGCCAGTGGGCTCAGGGAAAGTCCCTGGCCCCTCCAGCTAGAGCAGGCATAGGCAACCTTCGGCCCTCCAGATGTTTTGGACTACAATTCCCATCATCCCTGACCGCTGGTCCTGTTAGCTAGGGATCATGGGAGTTGTGGGCCAAAACGTCTGGAGGGCCAAAGGTTGCCTATGCCTGAGCCAGAGCATCTCAGGCAAGCA